CAGCTACTTGGAAGGCTGAGGCGGAAGGATCGCCGCAGCCCCAGCAGGTCCAGGCTGCGGTGGCTGCTCCAGTCTGGGCAACAGAGTGAGACTCCAACTCAAAAAAAAAAAGTATAGTTGAGGCTTGAACAACATGGATTTAAACTGTGCAGGTACACATAAGCAGTAATTTTTTTTCAATAATAGCTAAACCAAGTATTCTTGGCTGTCCTGCCACCCCTTCCACCTCTTCCACTTCTTCCACCCTTGAGACAGTAAGACCAATCCCTCCTCTTCCTCCTCAGTCTACTAAATGTAAATACAATGAAGATGAAGACCTTTGTGATGATCCACTTCCACTTAATGAAGAGTAAACATATTTTCTCTTCCTTATTTTCTTAATAACATTTTATTTTTTCTAGTTTATTTTATTTTAAGAATACAGTATATAAGACATATAACATAAAATATGTATTAATCTACTTTTTATGTTATCAGAAAGGCTTCTGGTCAACAGTAAGCTATTAGTAGTTAAGTTTTGGGAGAGTCAAAAGTTATACATGAATTCTTAACTGCACAGAAGGTAGGAGCCTCTAACCCTTAAGTTGTTCAAGGGTCAACTGCATATGAGAGGATGTGCACAGGTAATTTGCAAATACTATACCATTTTATATAAGAGACCTGAGCATCGGCTGGGCTCGGCAGCTAAACCTGCAATCCCAGCACTTTGGGAGACCGAGGCTAGTGAATTGCCTGAGCCAACAGGTTCGAGACCAGCCCAGGCAACTTGGCAAGACCTCATCCCTTCAATAAATAAAAAATTAGCCAGGCATGATAGCGTGCGCCTGTAGTTCTGGCTACTTGGAAGGCTGAGGTAGGACTGCCAGAGCCCAGTGTGTCAACGCTGGGGTGGCTGTGAGTATGCCACTGCACTCCAGCCTGGGCAACAGAGTAAGACACCAACTCAAAAAAAACAAAAACAAAAAGAGAGAGAGAGAGACTTGAACAACTGTAAGTTTTAGTATCTGAGGGTGGGTGTCCTGTAACCAATTCCTCCAGGTACCAAAGGAGGACTATACAGTATTTTGGAGGTAATTATCGGAAAACCTAAAATGAAAAATGGTTAAGAAGGATCACTATGAAGACTAGAACTAGGGGTTAGGAAGTTGGGAAAATGTTTGCTTTTCATAATCACATCTATTCCATTTTGCTTGATTTTTAATTATATAAATAAATAAAACTCATTCTTGAGTCCTCCCCCACTGCCATCAGTATAAAACATGCACTCCTTAACATGCCTTAGAAACCCCTCACAATCAGGCCACTGCTTATCATTCAGCTTCTTTTTTAAACATTCTTCCCCCCACCTTATAGTCGTTGTTCTAAATACAGAAAATTACATTCAAGTAGCCCCTAGTAGCAAGCTTTCCTGCCTCTGAGACTCTACACATGACATTTTCTCTGCCTTTCTCCTCTACACCAGGCCAATGTACGTGTGTCCTTCAGGGTTCCAAATGGGTATCACATGCCCAAAGCTTTCTTGACTAAGCTGGGTCATATGACCCCCCTATGAACACAACCAAAATAGTTCATATATTCTCTCATCAAGACACTAACTAGCCTATGTTAAACTGTCTGTTCCACCCTTCAAGAAAAATTAGATTTCATGAGAACAAGAATCATATCCATTTTGTTTACATGAGAAAGTCTCAGCACTAGTATAGTGCCTGGCATTCAAGACACTTAAAATACTGTTTTAGTGAACAGTTCCAGGACTTCATTCTAATCTATCGCAATTATGCTCATCTGCCCTGGTAATAAAAAAGATGCCTTTATTCACAAATTGCAGAAGAGTCTCAGGGCAGCCTTCCTTCCTGTCCACTGCCTTCCCATACCACATTAACCTTGAAAATAACCTCCATATGCATTCCAGTAACTCAATATCTCCCAAACTTTTCTTGGTTTTTCTAAAATTCTGGTTCTAAAGCACCTCCATCTCAACTTTCTGTATCCTGCCAGGTGTCAGGGCTCTGGCCTGTAATCCCAGCAGTTTGGAAGGCAGAGGCGAGAGGATTGCCTATACTCAGGGGTTTGAGACTAGCCTGGGCAACTTGGTGTGACCTCATCTCTACAATAAATCAAAACATTAGCCGGGCATGGTGGCACATGCCTGTGATTCCAACTACTTAGAAGGCTGAGATGGAAGGATCATCTGAGCCTGGCAGGTCAAGGCTGCAGTGGCCATGAGCATGCCACTACACTCCAGCCTGGGCAACAGAGTGAGACTTCGATGCACCAAAAAAATAAAAAATAAAAATTGTAGCCCGTTTCAACACTTCAAAACAAAGCAAGGACCAAAAATCAACTCTGTCAAAGCCAGCAACTTCAGAACCAGACCCATCCTGCAGGGGCTCAAGTAGACCAGAAATAATGATGGTTCAGTACTCAGTGAAATCAAGCGATCTGGATCTCAGCACATCAGAAAATTCACTGGGTGGTAAACCAGACTTACTCATATGGCCTGACCAACTGTTCAGAATTTGGGGGAAGGTGGAATTACAGGAACACTGGTTATAGTTACTTTCCTGGGTTTATATATTTTCAAATGCAGGGGGAAAAAAGACATACCAGGATGAGCAGATTTTGTGCTAGTGCTAAAAGGTTCCAATGATCCGATAAGCTGGCTCTTGGGTTATCAAGAGGTAGCTTGTCATCTCACCTCCCATCAGGCTTTCATTCCACTGTACATTACATTAAGAATAAAAATTGTGTATAATTTCTGCTATGAAACTGTCTTGTGCTACAGCAAGAGGAAATATTTTTACAACTAATACTGCTGAAAAGTTACATTTGACATTCTCTCTCTTGCTCGAATCTACTAGGAACTTATTTTATGACAAGCATTAAACATTCCTCATTCAGCATTTAGAGAAAATTGTAGGTTAAGCAGAGATGAAATAACAAAAACTGCCCTCAACAACTCTAAGAAACAGACTTGTACTCAAATAAATAGAATGCACTGTTATAGGAAGAAAGGTGCAATATGATGAGGAAAGAGGGCAAAAGAAGATATAAATAGTGGGGCTGCAACCTTCTCACAACACTAACATAATCAGACCACGTACAGCCTGGGCACAAAATAGGCTGCTCTCCCTTAGCCCATAAAGAACAGGGAAAATTGGAAAGATAGGAGCCTTGCTCTTAGATTCTTAGGACTTGCTGAGAAACTGAAACTGTATGACATAATTTCCCTTCCCTAATGTCTAGAAATAGAAGTGGATTTGGGGGAGAAAGGAAAAAAAAGAAGGAAGTGAACTGATACTCACATGGAAATGGAAAAACAATCTTAGGTCCTTATTCCAAAGAACACTTGCCAAAGTCAAATTCAATATAGTTATAAATTACCATAATTGTGACTCCATGTAGTCCAAATTCATGAGAAAGTTACTGTAGCAACACAGTAAAGTAAATCCTCACTAATGCCAAGACCCCAAGAGAAATTTATGAAACATCTACCAACATATCTGTCCTTAATTTACCACCAGACCTAGAAGAAAAAGCAGTCTTTGGAAAAAAGACAAACTGGTATCAACTCTCAATTCTATAATTTCTCAGAACAATAAAAATCTGTAGAACAATAAAATCTACAAATTACAAATTAACAAATTACAAGTAATCTAATCTCTCTAGGTCTTAGATTTCCTCTTACTAAAATGGGAAAAATACCACCAAACAGTAATTGCTAACAATTTTGAGTACAGAACACATTATGCAGCATCTTCATAACAATCCTGTAAGGGAGATTCTATAATAATCCCCATTTGTCAGATAAAAACAAATTAGGTTTTGGCAGACAACATAATTTGACTAAGATTAAAGAGTTAGTAAATAAATAGCTAAACCAATATATGAATCCAGAGTCCATGAGAATAAGATACAGCAGTCTCCCTATTAGAAGGGAGTATGTTCCAAGACCCTCAATGGTTGCTTGAAACTGGGGATAGTACCGAATGTTATATATACTGTGTTCTTTTCCTATACCTATGATAAAGTTTAATTTCTAAATTAGGCATAGAAAGAGAATAACAATAATAACTAATAATAAAACAGAACTATAATAACAATATGCCAGCATCACTACTCTTGTGTTTTGGGGTCATTATTAAGTAAAATAAAGGTGATGTGAACATGAGCACTGTCATACCATGCCAACTGACCTGATAACGAAGCTGGCTACTAAGTGACTAATGGGCAGGTACCTTAGTAGCCAGTTTTGATACACTAGACAAAAGGAGTTAACATCCCAGGCAAGACAGGGTGGGACAGATCAGAATGTATGAGACTTCATCAGGCTACTTAGAATGGCATGCAATTTAAAATTTATGAATTGTTTATTTCTAGAATTTTCCATTTAATATCTTCAGATATTATCAGGCTGACATTGGGTAAGTGAAACCCCAAAAAGCTAAACCACAAATGGGGACAAGTGTGTTGCAGTACTAATCAGAGCACACAGTCTGAAGTCAGACTAAGTCTGAAGACTTTGTCATTTACTGCTAACATCATAACCTTTAACCTCTCTGTATTTTGGTTTATGCAAATATGAAACAGGAGAGAAGAGCAAACCTTACCTATAAGGTTACTGTGAGGATTCAATTAGTATTTTTAACAGAATATTAATAATGTAACAGACACTATTCTAAGCATATGTTGTTGCTGTTGCTGAGGAGTCAATTAGTGATTTTAACAGAATATTAATAATGTAACAGACACTATTCTAAGCATATGTTGTTGTTGTTGTTACTATTATTATTATTAACTACTATCATGATACTGCCCGCCTAACTTAGGAAAAAAGTATCTATATATAGCAGTCACTAAACTTATATTTCTTCCCTCATCTACCCTGCAAAATCAACTACCTTTTGTTTATTTCTACTGTATGTCAAAGAGATCCTAAAATGGGTGGGAAAAAAGTAGAACAAAAAACAAGACGCATGTATTAAAAGAATTATACTCACAGTTTAGAAGGCCACAATAACTTTGTGAAGCAAATGACAATTAAAAAAAAATACTCCTAGTTTCTCTTTCCTCTTTCCATAGTAGTCAAAGAGAACCTGAAAAAAAAGATAAGATGCATGTACATAACCACCTTTATTTCATTACTTTTTTTTTTTTTGAGTTGGAGTCTCACTCTGTCATCCAGGCTGGAGTGCAGTGGCATGCTCATGGCCACCCCAGCATCGACCTGCTGAGCTCAGGCGATTCTTCCACCTCAGTCTTCAAAGTAGCTGGAACTACAGGCATGTGCCACCACACCCAGCTTATTTTTTGATTTATTGTAAAGATGAGGCCTCACCAAGTTGCCCATGCTGGTCTCAAACCACTGGGCTCAGACAATCCTCTCTCCTTAGCCTCCCCAAGTGCTGGGATTACAGGCTTGGGCCACTGTACACGGCCTCACTGCTTTTTCAAACCTCTACTGTACTCACCACCTTACATTCAGCTTCTTCACTGCCTGCCATACATACTGTGCTTGAATGAGGAATAAAAAGTTTATCAAAGCCTTGTGTTCAAGCCCATATTTTAGTTGAAGAAAACACACCTGAAATAACTACAAACTATTAAGACATCAATAAGCATAAATTAATCTGGCATTAAAAATTAGCTAATAAGTTCAGGGTAAGATAGCAAATAGAATGTACACGTATATATTTTTTACTCCAACTAAAATTTTGTTAAAGAGGTATTTTTTAAAAACAAAACACAGGACAGGGAGAAATGAGAGGAGGAAAAAAACCAAATTTTTGAAGCTGTAAGAAAATAACATAGAAAAAGAAAAAGAAAAAAACTGGAGGAAACAGAAACTATAAAAGATTGGAAGCATAGTAAATGACTCAGCAGGTCCAAGATAGCCAGACAGCTGAAAACACTGAGAACCAATTCCATTTCCATAGCAATGTTTTCCAAAGGCTCAGAACTGGCAGCATTAAATTCAGACAGGACTAGAGGTAAAAGCAGGAGTTAAAGGAATTTGGAGGCTAGGTGAAGGATGTCTACAATACTGTTAGAGCCTCAACACCATGCTTTCATGTGAATCCCAACCTTGCCAGACAGAAGACTGAGGGGTTGTTCTCTGGAAAAGGCAGAGCATCTGTGGACTAAAGTCACTCTGCCCCGCTGTACCATATACTGAAAACACATTCTAGCCCCCCCATCAACTCCTCATGTACACAGCTCCCAAAATTCAGGTAGTCAGATCTTTACACTGCAGGAAAGAGACTCTCAGAATGTTCTTGGAGAATCTCATCAGCCTAAGAGAAAAACCTAAAGATACTAACACTGGGGATTACCCCAACAAATGGCCCACCCAGAATATCCTGATGAAAAACGCAAAGTCAGAAGGCCCCCACCTACTTGTCTCAAGCTCCCAAAGAATTTTTTGAATCATCATAAGGAAATAATACCAGGCACATGAGAAAAGCCTCTGACAAGGAAGATAGAGACTAACATTGGCAGAAAAAAAGGAAGGAAAGCAGAGGAGGAAAAAGCAACTTGGAAGAAAGAACACAATGCATTACACTGTACTCACATATTCTGATGATGCTGGTGAAAACAAACCTACTGCACTGCCAGCCACATAAAAGTCTGTACGGAACATAAGACTTGATAACGATAATAAACAATTATGTATTTACTATACTGCACTGTTAATTAACCACTGTTTCTGATGTCTGGTTTTTCAATGAACCTCTAGGTTCTTAGTCCCACATATTGTAACAATTGAGGAAGAATTTACATCTAGAAGATAATAAAATGTGGCCAGGCATGGTGGCTCTGCCTATAATCCCAGCACCTTGGGAGGCGGAGGCGGGAAGATTGCCTGAGCCCGGCGGGGGGTTCAAGACCAGCCTGGGCAACTTGGTGAGACCTCGTCTCTACAGTAAATCACAAAAACTAGCCAGGCGTGGTGGCGTGTGTCTGTAGTTCCAGATACTTGGAAGACTGAGGCGGAAGGATCGCCTGAGCCCAGCAGGCCAAGGCTGCAGTGGCTGTGAGCGTGCCACTGCAATCCAGCCTGGGTGACAGAGACTCCAACTCAAAAAAAAAAGATAATAAGCCAGGCTCAGTGGCTCAGCTTGTAATCCCGTGCCTTTGGGAGGCTGAGGTGAGTGGATTGCCTGAGCCCACGGGTTCAAGACCCGCCTGGGCAGCGAGACCTCATCTCTACAATAAATCAAAAAATCAGCCAGGCGTGGTAGCGCATGCCTGTAATTCCGGCTACTTGGAAGGCTCAGGCGGAAGGATCGCCGGAGCCCGGCAGGCGAGGCTGCGGTGGCCGGGAGCAGCCACTGCACTCCAATCTGGGCGACAGAGTGAGACTTCAACTCCAAAAAAAAAAAAGATAATAAAATGTTCTATTATTCTTGAGTGATTAAGTCTTTGTATAAATCCCTTAGTAAAGCTGTATATGTTTTTTCATTAAAAAAAGAACTCTGAACTCAAGTTCAAGAAACTTTCATGAAAAAGTTATCCATTCCCTCTATATTTATTTTTCTTGAAGACATTTAGGTAAATAACTAAACTACACTTTGCTTAGCTTATAAATGGTATCAAATAGCCAACTATATAGCTGCACAACTTTTTTTTTTTACTACTTCCAAGAAATGTACCCAATCTAAAAAACTAAATCAGCTGCTGTATCACCAGGTTTCTAAATGCAATGTTTCCTTTGAGATTTGTCACTACAATTCAAATCAGTCTCATCAAGTTAATATTAAGAGCTCACCTGACAAAAAGTCCTTACAGTAAACATTTATTTTAAAAAAGGAAAGAATTAAAGTCCACTAAGGAAATTTTAGATAAAGGAAATCAAAGGAAAACATTATAACTACTAAGTAAAATAACTATTCAACTTTCTCATTGTAGCACAAAAGCACTATAAACAATTCAATGTGGCTGCATTCCAATAAAAATGTATTTACAAGGCAGTTTTGGCCCATGAACTGTAGTTTACTGAGTCCTACTACAGACCACTGATAACAATATGCACAAACTTTAATACCCTATCTTTCCCTCCAATATAGTCTATATATGTTCCTCCTCCTATAAATATATAACCCTACAATAATGAGCAGCTTATAATAGTAGTAGTTTATCTTAACTAATTCTTTCCATGTGCTATATACCCGGTGCAAAGAGTCTTAAGAGTACCCAGTCCTGAAAACAACCTCTCAAGGAATGATTCCCATTATTCATTTCAGAAAGTTCAAATTTAGAAGGTTATCTAACTTCCCAAAGTCATATAAGTAGTAAAAAGCCAAGCTAAGAATAAAATTCGGGTATGTCTGACCCCCAAAATCCTGCCCTTAATCACAACCAGTTTCCCAACGTCTAACTCAATGATGTCTCACGTCTAAGATCTCTTTTAGTAATTCTAGAATTCACCCCTGCTCTGCAATCCCACTGCCATGGACTTAGTTCAAGCTATATCGTTTTTAAAAATATATATATCTGATCTATTTCTTTATTATGGTGTTCCCTTTTTCACCAGTATCAGAGTGACCTTTCCTAAAAACAAATTGTGACAACTGTTTAAAAGTCTTTAATAAGCCGGGCTTCGTGGCTCAGCCTGTAATCCCAGCACTTTGGGAGGCTGAGGTGAGTGGATTGCCTGAGCCCGCAGGTTCGAGACCCGCCTGGGCAATTTGGCAAGACCTCATCTCTACAATAAATCAAAAATTAGCCGGGCGTGGTAGCACGCACCTGTAGTTCTAGCTAATTGGAAGGCCAAGGCGGAAGGATTGCCGGAGCCCAGCAGCTAGAGGCTGCGGTGGCCAGGAGCGGCCACTGCACTCTAGTCTGGGCGACTGAGTGAGACTCCAACTCAAAAAAAAAAAAAAAAAAAGTCTTTAATAGCTCTCATTACTTTCAGGGATACTAGGAATTCTTTGCTTAGAACAATAGTCTCACAACTGTGTTCCCTGTTCTGCAGACATTTATTTGGAGCATCAAAGCATACCTTGTAAGCCTTTACCTCCCCTAAGAATCCCCCCTCCTCGAATATTTCTCACACCCATCCCACTCCAACTAGAACATTGGGTGGGGGAGAAGAACAGAGAGGACTCTGCTGCTGTGAGTGGAAGGTGGGGAGAGAGGGAGAATAAAAACAAACCACTAGCTTCCTACCTCATTTGCTATTACTTCTCCATGCCCTTTCTATGATACGGTCATAACTGAACAACTCTGATTTCCCTTAATGTATCATGCTACTTCTTACAACCAAGCCTTTATTTATGCTGGTTCTTCCCCTCCTCCACTCAGCTTACTCTTAATCACCTTTCAAAGTATAGTTTCAAGTGTAACCATTACCCCTGTTCCATCCAAAAGTGATGTGGATATACTACCATCTCTACCTCAGGATTCATCCCACTGTATTATAATCAAAGATTTACTTCTCTCTTTCTGTCACACAACTGGAATGACCTTGTGGAAAGGATCATTTCTCATTTAGCTATCACTTTTCAGAACCAAGTATGATGCCTGCCACAACAGTGTATGCAAACACAAAGGGTTTTTTCATTTATTCATGTACTGAGAATCTACTTTACATGCCTGGCATCATTCTTGGGAACTAAAATTCAAAGACACACAGATCTTGCTTGCTCTTAATAGAGTTTAAATTACACTGAAAGGATCAAGATGGAGTTGATATACTCAATGAACAGCCATTTTAACACTGCCTAGTTGTGTCATATTCTCTTAACATTACCTAGCTTGCCCTCTAATCAAGGACACAACTGGTTTCCCAGAGGTAGCTACTGATAATTGTTTTACAATCCCTCTCCAGCTTGTTTTGTACAATTAGCTTTTCTATGCCAAGTATTTTCAAAAGGAACACGTTAACCTAATCAGCCAGTCCTGACCTTCCTGACACAGACCCCATCACCATGGCAGCAGTCATGTGACTAGCTCACCCATCTGCCTGTTGCTCATCAGCTGATGTCAGTACCCATGCTCACCTGTCCCCTTCATGATGACATGAAACAGACCACCACCCAGTTACCTTAATGATCTCTCTCTCTCTCTCTCTCTCTCTCTCTCTCTCTCTCTCTCTCTCACCTTAAATCTTGCCTTATCTGTCGGTCTCTTCCTCCAAGTAAGCAGCAAGATTCCAAGAACAATGGCAATGGCAGTCTTCTTCAGCTCTGCGGCTTCAGAACCTACACACAAGGTAAATAATTTAAGCACTATTAAATAAAACCAAAGTGAAAGTCAAATAGCTCCAGCTGATTGCAGTTGGAAGCACTTGCTTTTCAAAGCTATCTTTTTTGCTGCTTTACTGTTAATAACTAAACCTAAAAACATTCTTCATTGAAATCTGACTCTCTTAGAACTGGCTTTTTTCTCCTTGCTAAATGCAAAGACAACCCATCCCAGTTACCCCTCACGTCTGGTTTTTGTTCACCACTGTACACTCAATAGTATGCACCATATCTAAAACAGCATCTAGAGCATACAATAATCAATAAACAGTTACTTGATATATGATAGATTTAATGAATAAATGAATGACCACACTGGCTTTGTGAGTGCCTTAATCACATTCTGATAACTGCTTTTTACTATATTTTATGCATTTTAAGGAGAATTTAAGTAAGTAACAACATGCTATTCTATTAACACTAGGCCTACTGCCTGCTTGCTGTTTTAGCAACAGGCAACTTAATGCAAGCTGAATTCTAACTCTCCTACTTATCCCATGATTTAATTCATCCTTATTAAGAATACAAACTCATGCACTGTAATTATGAAACTGATGAAATATAAGCATGACTTTGGGAGGTCAAGACGAGAAGATCGCCTGAGTCCAGGGGTTCAAGACCCGCCTGGGCAACTTGGTGAGACCTCATCTCTACAATAAATCAAAAAAATTAGCTGGGTATGGTGGCATGTGCCTGTAAGTTCCAGCTATTTGGAAGGTTGAAGTGGAAGGATCTCCTGAGCCTAGCAGGTCGAGGTTGTAGTGGCAGTGAGAAGTCATCGCACTCTAGCCTGGGCAACAGAATGAGACTCTGAGTCAAAAAAATAAATAAATAAGCATGAAAATTTGAACTAATTCAAATAGGGCATAAAATGACTATTTCTCAAATTGTAAAATTATAACTCCTAAATTATTTTGCTACAGGTGGATAAAGAAAATTAAACTTGGCTTAGATAATAAAATATACTCTCAACTCTGAATATATTTGTAAGATGAATATTCCCTACCCTTTTGCATGAATAAATGTATTTCAAGATAGGTATAAACAGATGCTTGGACTGTTCTGAACCCTTTTCCCTTTCTAATCTGCAAACTAAAATTTTCCACCCACCCTATTCTTTAAATCTGTGCTTCATTATCACATGCAGTATTTCCTTTCATTACCTTGCTTAAAATGTTCTCATTCCAATGCACAATCCAACTTGGACAGTCTTATATCATTCATCTCTCACTGCTTCCAAATTACAATCCTGATCATCATAACAATAACAGCTTCACGTGTAAAGTGTCTGTTATATTAGCACATTTATCCTCACAGCCCTAACTGGTTACTAACATTATTTCCTTTTAACATATAAGGAAACTAAGTCTTAAAGAAGTTAATAAGTTTTCCAAGGCCACACACAAGAGAAACATCCAGCAAAGGAGAAAGATCAGGGATTCAAATGCTGGTTTATCAGCACGCAAAATCACATCACTATTCTGGCTTCCCAAATTAGCCACATAATACTATTATTATTATAATAATAAACATGATCTGGGCTTTCCAAAGCACGCATGACAGAAAAGTTCTTCTTAGAGCTGAGTAACAGTCACTGGGGCATACTGACAAAGTATATCTGGTTGGAATTAAGCAAGTAGGCTGAGCCCCTAGAAAAGAAATGTCTGCTTGATGTTAATTGTTTAAAAAAAAAAAAAAAAAAGCCCAAACCCACTATTTCTTTACCCTTAACACCTAACAACTTAAGTGATCTGTGAAGTTCTCTAACGTTAAAGATGCACAACCATTTCTTATGGGTTTCCTTTCTTCTAAGCTCAGTCCATCAATGGTTTCAACACTAAGACCAGCTGTAACCTGTATTCTGAAAGAACACAGGCCAAAAGTAACTTCCTGAAAAACCAAAAATATATCAAGAATGTGAATATGATTATGAAAATCATCTGGGCAAACAAAAGTTCCTTTATGCGTCAAAATAACTTTCTAGCCAAAAATATTCTAATACTAGACTGTGGAGCTGCTCAAAGGTAAGGATACTGTGTCTCATTCATCTCTGCCAGTGCTTGGTACAAGATTTGCCATCTAACTGGTACTAAGCTACTGACTAAATGAATACATTATGAGACAAGAAGCTGTAAAATTACTGAATTTTGAAAAACCAATATTAACAATAACAATAAACTGCCCATTTTTTGTGCAGAGCAAATAACAAATATAAACTGCTCTCAGTTTTCAGATCATAAGCTAGGGAATGATCAAGATTAGTCTTTAAATTCCCACTACCGGGGACAGGAATAATGACATTATTAGAAACTGTACTTGCTGAATATAAGGTTGATTCTGCCCTAAAAAATAATATTCTTAATTTATATGACTAGTCATGTACTAAGAACTATATGTTATGCCACATTTATAAAAGCGTTACAATAATCTCTATTTAATATATTTAAAGAGGTTAAGTAACTTGGTGAACAACATAAAGGGAACAAGGATTACATCTGAATTCAAAGCAAAATCTGTCCATAGTCTGTGTTCTTCACCATTGTTCTATTCTTCACTGCAAAGAATATCCCCACAAAATTCTATTGTGTGAAAGGCTTAAAATGTCAAAGAAACACTAGTCTACTGAAACTAACTAGTAGGCATAGTCAATAAATTCAAGACAAAACAGCCCTTCAATCATACTCAAAAGATCTAATGGCTATCCTAGCCTATAAGAGTCAGGCAGTCTACCTGAGAAAGACACCACAAGAAGCCCTATGGGAAGAGATACCCAAAAAAGACTCTTACCTATGAATCAAATTCAAGAAGTAATTAGGAGCAACATCTCCATTAAGGGCTAGGAAAAAAAACTGATCAAGGACACAAAAATCATTTGGGCAAAACGGTCCAGTTGAAACTGGAGACCATTGTCTGAGTAACGGAAGCAAGTAGTCTGCAAAGTGAACAGCTCCAGGTATAGTAAAAAGGAGGAACAAGCCCACTCCACCCTGAGTCTGCCATTGAAAGCAACTAGAAAATCACAACAGAATAAATGCAGAAGCTATCTGATGACTCTGAAAAGTAAACAGTAGCAGCTGGATTAGGGAAGAAGACTAGTATTCAAACCACCACCAAATCAGCAGACCCAGAATCTCCTAACATAATACCCAAAAAGTGAAGGATACAATCCAAACTTACTCAGTTCAGGAGGAACCAGGAAAATCTCAATTCCCATGGAAAAGGAAAATCAAGACAAGCCTATACTGAAATGACACAAATGTTGGCATTATCCTACAGACTTTAAAACAGCTATTATCAATGATCTTATAAACAAGTGTACACAACATATTTGCTATCAAAATATCTTCCCTTTTTCTCTTAAACCCACTGGCTTTGCCTCTCACCCCTCCACTGAAACCTTTCTCTCCAAGATCACCAATGACCTCCCTGCTGCTAAATCCAAAAGATCAATATTCAGATGTTACTTGCCCTGTTAGCAGCAACTAACAGAGTTACCACTCCCACTTCCCTTCTCTTCTCTTGGTTTCCAGAGCACCATGTTCCCCTGGTTTTCTTCTTACCTCAAAGGTCCCTTCTCAGTCTCTACAGCTGTTCTTCTTCTTCTCTCAAACCTGTTAAGTCTAGAGTTCCCCAAGGTTATGTCCCTTCTCCACTTACCTATGCTTACCTCGTAGGCACACTCACTTTAAATGCTGTCTCTATGCTATACGTAGCTCAGACCTCTCTTCCAATATCCCAACCTGTAAATCTAGTTGCCTAGCTGTATGTTGGGCTGACTGTTGCCAACACTGCATCCCTACTGCCACCACCTTCTATATTCTCTTGTGCATCACAGGGAAGCCAGAACTACAGTTCCCAGAAACCCCTACCTACTACAACTCAGGATTAGAGTTAATTAATAAGAGGTATTCATGTAAGACTGGTAAATGGAAGAGAACACTACTCTTCCAAGGCAGGTGCTGGCAGAAGCATGGTTGCAGATAGAGGCGGAGGAGAAAATCCATTTAACTGTGCAATTGAGGTGCCTTCCATCTAACCATCAATAGAAGTGATTAATCTGCAACATAATGACGTGCTAAATTAAGGCAATCATCAAGAAGAATCTAACAATTCTATGAATGGCTTCTAAGCAACATGCTCAAACAATATGCTCCTGGACTGATAACAGTATAAAGACATTTTCAGAGATGAAATAGGTAAAATCTTGCAGATTAGCATTGAGAGATGAACATTTGTAACTGATGTTGATAATAGGCAACACTAACTCCAAACTCTAGCCAAGTGTTATCCTCTTCCTCCCCTAAAAAAAAGAATTCCATTCTTCTCATTAGACAGTATTATAAAAAATTATACTCAATTACTATTTTTATATTTTGAATTCTGTCAATAACAATCTGTGAAAATCTGTTTTCTCTCTTGTTATTTAAGTACCTACATAATATCCTTATTTTGCCTATCAGTCTGTAAAACCTACAATATTTACCATCTGCTACTTTACAGAAAAGCTTGCCAATCCCTGTTTTAGTCAACTAAATCCCTAGGCCTTCTACACCCAGGTAGCATCAAGACATGTTTTATCCATCTTTAACTTTCTCAGTTGGTTTTCTAAAAAGAAACTAAGTCTGCCATTTTACATTTATTCCTGATAAATTTTACCTTACTGATTATACCATTTCATTACAACATGTTGAAATATTTTAAAACTCTAATTCTAAAACTGAGCTGTCTTCCAACATGATTCCTTTATTCAAACTCCTGATAGAAATGTTAGGACAAGTGTCAAGTATGACACACTTCTGGAGACATCCTCACCTATGTATAGAAATTCAAATTTTTTTTGTTTTGTGGTAAATGATACTGTATGTGGCTGCAACATGTTTTCAACCTAAAAGCAATAATAATTTTCTAAACTCCCTAGTAATAACAGAATAATTTGCTTTTCTGGGGCTCATGTAGTA